GTTTTGTATAGATTTGAGGTGAATTTAAATTTTAAAAAAAAAAACATTAGACTTCATTATTAAATATTATGGAGTACTTGAAAATGATCAATGATTTTTTAATTATTTTTTAAAATAAATTGATTTAAAAGCAGTCTCTCAAATGCAAATAGAGCTATATTAAAATTATCTCTCATTTGATAGGCAAGAAATAAGATATCTTTATGGTGTTTGGCCTTTATTATATGGGTTCAGAAACTAATAAGAGAATGTAGCAATCTCCAGGTACACCTACACAAAAGAACTAAGTTAAATATTGGGAAGTGAATAAAATTCAAACTCCCTAAGGCTTTTGGGAGGTAAAGCATATTCCAATTAATGAGGGGTGTATCCATGTAGGTTCCCCATGGGAATACACCACAAAAAGTTCTTAACTGTTTATTTTATCTTAGTTGGGATATGTGTTGGCAATCTAAGCATAGGCATGTAATAGGTCATTTGGGAATTGAATACTGACTGAATCATCATCACCCTACCTGCATAGGAGAGAAAACAATCCTTCTAACCTTGCAACTAAGATTTTAATTTATCCAAGAGGAAAAAGAAAAAGTTGAGTAGATTGTCAATTAAGAAATATAGGAATACCTAAGTGCTTAGCATTTCTTGTGATAAGGGTGAGTTACAAAGAGGTTTGGAACTGATGTTACAACGAGGTAAGAATGTTAGCACTAAAATGAATATGGAATTTAGCAAAATATAAAGATTGCCCTAACCATATACAATACAGTTTGAGAATTTTGAGATATCTCTTTAAATTAGATGCGGTAGCTTGTTTAAAAAGAAGAACATCTTGCATTAAACAAATGTGTAATTGAAGTAGTTTGAAAATTTATTTACGAACCATGTACATATTGCTGGATTTCTACTTAAGATAGCAATATAAAATAGACATCTATACAAAGTATAAAGAAATAAGGGCCATTTGAAGGGGTCTTCTTATGTATATATTTTATTAATTAGTAATTGATAAGTGATAGTATAACAACATTATAAAAATAATTGAACCTCCCAAAAAGAGTAGCATATTAGCTATAAGACTTGAGTGAGAATACTCTATTTGGTTTGATTACACGCCCAACTCATCACATTTAACTAGAAACCAAACTTTCTTCCTTTTATTAACTCGCATGGAATGTAAGAATTCTTGTACGATGAGTAAATTATCCTAAGGATATCTATTTTTAATAGAATCATATTGATATAAAGATATAATTCAATTTAAAAAAGATTAAAGCTTGTTTACGAGGATTTTGACAATAATTTTATAATTAACATTGTGAATTGATGTTAGGAATGAACACAATCATGATGGGAGAGAGAAAGGCAATACAATCAGCCTATTTCAGTCATTTTCTTTTTTTTGCCTTTTGTTTAGAGTATATAAGTAGTAACATCACCCCGAGGATATTTGAGCCATTGCTTTGGTAACTTTA